TGAACACAGCCAGCTTGGTTCATCGTCCTTGTTGCGCAACGTGAAGAACGGACGCTGCCAGTTGCACTCTGCACATGCGAACACAGCCAGCTAGGTTCATCGTCCTTGTTGCGCAACGTGAAGAACGGACGCTGCCAGTTGCACTCTGCACGTGCGAACACAGCCAGCTTGGTTCATCGTCCTTGTTGCGCAACGTGAACAACGGACGCTGCTAGTTGCACTCTGCACATGCGAACACAGCCAGCTTGGTTCATCGTCCTTGTTGCGCAACGTGAAGAACGGACGCTGCCAGTTGCACTCTGCACATGCGAACACAGCCAGCTTGGTTCATCGTCCTTGTTGCGCAACGTGAAGAACGGACGCTGCCAGTTGCACTCTGCACGTGCGAACACAGCCAGCTTGGTTCATCGTCCTTGTTGCGCAACGTGAAGAACGGACGCTGCCAGTTGCACTCTGCACATGCGAACACAGCCAGCTTGGTTCATCGTCCTTGTTGCGCAACGTGAAGAACGGACGCTGCCAGTTGCACTCTGCACGTGCGAACACAGCCAGCTAGGTTCATCGTCCTTGTTGCGCAACGTGAAGAACGGACGCTGCCAGTTGCACTCTGCACGTGCGAACACAGCCAGCTTGGTTCATCGTCCTTGTTGCGCAACGTGAAGAACGGACGCTGCCAGTTGCACTCTGCACATGCGAACACAGCCAGCTAGGTTCATCGTCCTTGTTGCGCAACGTGAAGAACGGACGCTACCAGTCGCACTCTGCACATGCGAACACAGCCAGCTTGGTTCATCGTCCTTGTTGCGCAACGTGAAGAACGGACGCTGCCAGTTGCACTCTGCACATGCGAACACAGCCAGCTTGAACACAGCCAGCTTGGTTCATCGTCCTTGTTGCGCAACGTGAAGAACGGACGCTGCCAGTTGCACTCTGCACATGCGAACACAGCCAGCTAGGTTCATCGTCCTTGTTGCGCAACGTGAAGAACGGACGCTGCCAGTTGCACTCTGCACGTGCGAACACAGCCAGCTTGGTTCATCGTCCTTGTTGCGCAACGTGAACAACGGACGCTGCTAGTTGCACTCTGCACATGCGAACACAGCCAGCTTGGTTCATCGTCCTTGTTGCGCAACGTGAAGAACGGACGCTGCCAGTTGCACTCTGCACGTGCGAACACAGCCAGCTTGGTTCATCGTCCTTGTTGCGCAACGTGAAGAACGGACGCTGCCAGTTGCACTCTGCACATGCGAACACAGCCAGCTTGGTTCATCGTCCTTGTTGCGCAACGTGAACAACGGACGCTGCCAGTTGCACTCTGCACATGCGAACACAGCCAGCTTGGTTCATCGTCCTTGTTGCGCAACGTGAACAACGGACGCTGCTA